AATATGGCGCAGGACTATCAATTGTACGTTTTGGCAGCGCTTTTCATCACTCTTATTGGCAACGGTATGTAAGAGAGCCTTGTTCTTTTAGTTTAAATTTAAAAATTAAAAATTTAAACAAGTAACAATACAAAAGAAAGTTTTTTGTTGCATGAAGATATTTTTTACATTTCTTACAAAGCAGAAAAAGTACAGTCATAATTAATGTGACATATTTTTTTCACTAATATTTTACATGTATTGTTAACTAATTTTTTTTAATTAGAAAATGTTTTTGCTTACAAAGCGTAAAATAAACGAGTATTGATTAAATTTATCAATTAATTATAGGACGGAAAGGTAAACAAAAGTTTTACTGTGTAAACACCAATTTTTTTTACTTTATTATGGTTACTAGAAAACTACTATCTCATTCCATGCAAAATAGGCATTTACTTTGTGAAAACTGTGGATTTTTCTACACTAATAAAGGAAAAAATATTACTTTGTTATACTCATATTATGATAAAAACTTATACACTACCTGTGTGGGTGATTTTGATGAACTGAAAGAAATATTCATAATTTTTATTGTATTTACGTACCTAAACAAATTACCATGATGCACGTTAGACGATTGACACAGTGAAATCATGGGACTTTTTGTATTACGATAAAAATTATGGAATATTTCTATCGATACATAATAACTAGTAGTGCATTAAGAACAATTTGTAAAAGGAGGTGATGTAATTAAAAAATAAAGTTATTGATTTTATTTACAGTTGCTGGTTTGGAATTGGAAAATATTGTTGGGGGTAAAACAGCAAACATAAATGATAACAACTATGCAGTTTCAGTACATATAATCAGAGGCCAAATTTGTAGTGGCGTTCTTATTGAGGATGATGTAGTTTTAACTGCAGCTCATTGCTTTGACAGGAATGAAAAAAAATTCAGTCCTTTTAAATACCGTGACGAATCATATTTTGTTGTCGCAGGGACGAGCAAAAGTACAGATCATACCCACATGATAAATGTGGAGAAAGTTTACCTTCACGCAAGATACGAAAAGCGTGAAAGAAATCTTAATGACATTGCTGTCTTAAAAGTAAGTGCAAAATTAATATTTGTATAAATTATGCTTATCTTTCACGAAAAAGCATACACGATTAAATTAGATAACTTCACTGCTTATTGTTATTAAATATAAATTGATGATTTGAAAAAGATGTCGTTATTTCACAATCGATACAACATTGACATATTTAATAAAATCGTCTCATGTATAAATTTCAACACACATTAAAACCATTAATGTAATGAATAAATTTTTTATATTACGGACAATGGTAGTAACTTATAACTATAAAAATCATGGTAGAGAAGAGAAGGGAGCTTAAAAGATACTGTTCATTAGACGATAAATTTTTTATCTTGAGCTGAAGGAAGTCTAATCAAGATGGAGATGTATTGAATTCTACAGTTTAATACATTTTCTAGATTGTTCGGCAAGAGAAGTTGGTGCGTTGAACTTAAAAAAAGAAATTAGTTTTTTCTTCGTTTCTTCTGACTTGCTCTAAATTATTTTCGTATATCTTATTAATACATTACAATCATACAGTATAATTTTTGGGTTATAAAGTATTAGCACAAGGTATTTAAAAAAAGGCACTATCACTTTAATTAATCTCGTATAAGATATAATGCATATTAAGATAATAATTATTCACTACTTAGAAATGTTTATACACATAAGAAATACATGACTGCGTATATTTTTTTCAGCTCCAAAAAAAATTCAATGTAATTAACTCTCCGAATATTGGTGTAGCACAGTTGCCAAAAAAAGATAAAAATTATATTGGAAAAATAGCAAAAGTATTGGGTTTCGGCGCTGATGCCGTTAGGTATCTAGGTAATGGCAACTGGCAGGCGTCAAACTTTCCTGATGTATTGAAACAAGTAAATGTTACAATTCTCGATCAAACAGACTGTGAGGCAGACATGAATCAAGGATTTTTGTGTGGAAAGACTAAAGAGCTTAGAAACCAAGGGGATCAAGGCGTTTGCGATGTACGTCATAAAAAAATTTTTGTTCTATTCTACAACTTTGTTGAAACGATTACTTTTTTTGTTTTTAAAAAGCGAAAGTACTTCTACAGATTTTTCTCCCAATAAAAGTTGTCAGATTTTATGCCTAGAAAATTATTTTGCAACAGAATTACAAAAAAATAAATTATAACTTAGAATGCCAAAAATACAGCTACTAATAAAACCTTTTCGGGGTTGATACATATTAAGTTCACTTATTGGTAGTTATTTTGTCAAATCGAACAAAATGAATGGTAACATTAAAATAGTATCGTATACCTCATATGAACCAAACGTACAGTTATACTGCTATCATTCATTTAAAATAAAAAAAAATATACCAACAGTTAATGTATAATTGATCAATAGAATATTTGCTTAGAGTTATGTTATAATTAAGCTATTTAATTTTAATGAGATGGAAAATCAAAACTGCCAACTTAAAACTCAAAAATCAATGCTTTATAAAAAAAATACTTCATGAGAAATCGATTTTCAAAATTTTTCAAGTACCTTACTTTGCAAGTTCAAGTTTGACAAATTCATTTTTTTTACTTGCTTGTTTATTGCTTTTTAATAACATATTCAAACTAAAATCAAGACTGAAATAGTACAGATATTTACTGTGGCACGGAATACGACTTGATTTTCTACTGAAATGATACTTTTTTCTACTATTTATAAAATTTATCTAGAACAAAAAGTTATTTACAGTAATACAGAAGTTTTAAAACTCATCCAAGAAATAATAACAATTACTTATTTTGATAATTCAATGATTTAAAAATATTAAACTACCGTAGACTATGTGACTTGTCATTAGTATAGAGTTTTAGATTTGTATGAAATTTTCAAACAAGAAATCGATTATTAAGGGTATCGCAAGGTAGCTTATGAGTACGCCACAGAAAAGTGTTGAATTAAGTAAATGATAGTTTTTTTTATTGTTTTCGTAGTATATAATTATGTTAACGTATATAATTTGTGACTTTACTTTATGGTTTACAAAGGCAAGAAAATACTAGTCTTGAGAAAATTGTACCACAACTTTTTTGTAGTACGTTCTAATTTTTTAGCATACAAATTTCTATATATTTCTGTTTTCAGGGCGATAGTGGTGGTCCTGTTATGTTTGAAGACACAGTTATTGGAATCGTTAGTGCATCGTCGCATCACTGTGATAATAGATACAAATCGGCAATATTCACAAATGTTTCAAAGTTCTTGAACTTTATTGAAAATGCAAAAAAGGACTGTGAAAGTACAGATACATTAATAAAAACTGTAAGAGCACCGATAAGAAGAATTAAACAAAAAAATTAGTCGCAAAACCAAACAAAGAGTCTGAAATTTCTAAAGACGTCAGATAAAAGCCTTAATGGATGTTTTTAATGAGAAAATAAAAGCATTGGAAAGAAAAAGAAAATATAAAAGTTTACATAACCATTACCTAGTTTCTACACTATAATAGTCAAAGTTACAATTTTATCTAAAAATTTACTGCTGCATACCTAAATTTGTATGAAAAAGAAAAAAAACTTAAATTTATACATTATTTTGTTTCACTTTTACTATGGTACAATTTACTATGTATGTATGTATGTACATCGTAACATAAGAAGTTATACTAATAATATCGATTCATACGTCTTATTAATGAACAAAACTAACCGTTTTGCGATTGTTATTTCTGAATTATTAACATTGTATTACATGCACATATTGTCTATGTGTAGAAATAAGATGAGGAGGCGAAACAATGTTGAAAGTTTGTATTAAAAATTGATATAAAAAAAAAATTGTTGTTACTTTAATTCCCATACTTTTCATTTTCAGTTCCTGCATAACGTATCAATCGTATTTCATATATATATAGGGAATACAAGGAATTTGTACTACTGATCAAATACGATATTACATATTTTGTTCTGGCGAAAATGTCATACATTTTTGTTTAGTACGTTTCAAAATTAGCGCCATCACGATGCATGTTGTCATTGTGATTTATTTTCTGACAAAAATATGAGTAGTCGAGACTCAGATTACAAGTGGACTTTCTTCGAAATTTTAAGAACATCAAGTAACAGGCAATTATTTATTGATAAGAACAGGCTGACAATAAATTTTTTTTCATTTTTTTTCGTTTTTCGTAACATTCGAACATTTACAGCGCCCTCAGAAGTAAAAATAACATTCACCACGTAAGCGCGAAGTACTCATGTAAAAGATAAGATAAAATATTCATACTGCAAGAAGAGCAATGAATTTTCAGAAAAGTCAATACAAAAATGACTCAGCTACAGAGACATCATCGTATTCCGTCAAAATTTTATCTACGTTGTTTTTCACTAAGCAAATATAAGTATCTATGACGTATAAGTATACGTAAGGAACTTTTGTCGGTGAAAACATCAATGCACCGTAATTGTGGTAAAAAATTATTTTTCAATGAAAATTATTTGACAAGAAGTACACAAAAATGTACAAATAGTAAAAAGCTCTACACAGGATTTATCATGTATTATTACCATTTCAACTTTTCAGCACAGTAATTTAAAAAATTTTCTTTTCTACGAGTATCTTACTTGGTTTCTTCCAACAAGTGGGATTAACCCTAACATGATTAAAAATTCTTACCACCTGTTTTCCCTGTTCAATTACTGCACTTGACATTAAATTTAATTGTTTAAACAGTCATCGCTGTAATAATTGTTTGTCATGGCTGTATTCCGAATTCTTTTCAATACCAAATGATGTTTTATTGGATGAAGAGTACATCCGTCAAAATTATATCAAGAAAACGTCTACTTTTCACGCATAAAACTGACGTTTTCTAGACAATTTTTTAGTTCAAGAACAGTAGAGAAAGTATCAAAAATGGCGCGGGGATATCTATTATTCGTTTCAGCAACTTTTTGCGTCTTTCTAATTGGAAACGGTATGTTAGACCTTTTTTACGTTTTAATCATACATAAACCTTGTATTTTTAGTTTAGATTAAAATATTAAATATCACTGAAACAATTATTTATCAACAGAAAAATTAAACAAAAGTTATATTTTCTGAAGGCCCACAACAACTTTCTTTACTGTACTGTAATTTGAACTACCAAATGATAATTTTATCGTTTATGTTATATAAGATACACGTTTTTTGCACGACTGCACTCATTTTCCGATTTGCGCACTCGTTACGTATATAACTAATATTAAGTTGGAAACAGTTTGTGATAAGAGGTAATGATAAATATTTATATTTTTTTTTACAGTTGCTGGTTTAGAATCGGAAAATATTATTGGGGGTGTGAGAGCGAGAATAGAAAATAACAATTACGTGGTTTCCGTACAAGATGACGAAGATCACCTTTGTAGTGGCACACTCATTGAAGATGATATGGTTTTGACTGCAGCTCACTGTTTTTTGGATGAAAAAATAAAAAATTCTTATGTTTATGTAGACGAACCATACTTTGTCGTCGCAGGGACAGCAGACGTTCAAAATTTTGATCACAGAATACGTGTGGACAAAGTTTATCTTCACACTAAGTACGAAGTGGTTGATAATGTTTTGAATGACATAGCTGTCTTAAAGATGAATATAGAATTGATACTTAAACAAATCATGCCTATTTGTTGATGAAAAATCATAAGTGACTTAGTGTCATTATAGTTTTATTTTAGTCCACAAGTAAAACACAACCAACAAAGAATCAATCCAAAACTATTGTTTTATCTTGAAAAAAAAAAAAAAAAAAAAAAAAAAAAAAAAAAAAAAAAAAAAAAAAAAAAAAAAAAAAAAAAAA